ATTTATTTTTAATTTTTTTCGTCGCGCTGCTGATGATGTCACGTACGTGCTTTAATCGGGCGCGCTTTAGTCTACCGCGGTTTTGACGGGTCACGCTTTCAGCCATCCAGGTCATGGTTGTCCCAAATATGCTTTTTAAAGAGGCAATTGGACTTCTTTCTTTTTTCTTTGAATATGTTTCGTTTCTCATCTAAGAAGCTTCTTCAGCTCTCTTGAGTAGGCAGATCTAGATCTAGGTTGAACTGCATCTAAATCTGTAGGTAGATCTAGATCTCTCTCTCTCTCTAACCTGGTGATCCCCTCTCGGTCTAGGAATCACCAACCAGACATCTATTGATGAGCTCTCACCTTGTGAGGAGGCTAGCACACCTGAAAACCGGCACAATCAGAATGGCAATGTGGAATAGCGCTGCGTATAGGAGGAGCAAGGTAAGAGCTTCCCAGCTCTTGTTGCTAAAGTGCTGATAGTCTCTGCTGAAAAGCAGGAAGACCCTATATTGAGTCTCTGATTCTTATTCCCATTCAGATTTCCTTCTCCTTAAGAGGCTTAAACTATTTTTTTTCTCACGGAGAAGGGTTATTTTGTGTGTGGTATGTGTGTGATACTGGACTCTTCCTTATTTATTGATTTATTTAAAACACTTATATAGCTATCCATTTTAGACCAAACTCTGAGCATTAAAACAATATAACTTTCAGGTCCAAAGAACCAAGAACGCCATATGGAGTTACTTTTGAGTAGTTCCTTTATTGCTTTGACTTACAAACAGAATCTTGCCAGACTAAAGCAGTAACTATATATCTACTCTCTGATTTTCCAGGGCAGAGTCTGACCTTGCTCTTTCCTGCTCACTAAGCATTTCAAGTTCTGCTGTCTTGAAAAGATCACCTCCCTCCTGCGACTCCAGACAATATCCCACCACAATGACATATCACAGCACAACATAACACAACACACAATACAACATAACACAACACACAATGACATATCACGGCACAACATAACACAACACACAATACAACACAACACAACACACAATATATAACATTCCTTCCACCCAACCTTATCTAAGGCATTTACATAGCAGGCAGCTAATAACAGGTAGCAAGCCAGCAACTTGGGAGATAAAATTTCATGCCACTGGAAAGACCATTCTTCAAGATACATATTGCCAAAAGTATTCGCTCACCTGCCTTTACTCGCATATGAACTTATTGTAAGAGACATCCCATTCCTAATCCA